ATCTGTGTTCGACTACTCCACCTAGGCTGCATTTTTGAGCACAGATCCACTGAGAAACTTGCTGTTTCAGCAACATTTAATTTAAAAACTTTTGAGGTTAAACAAATGTTCATATTTAATTTAAATAAATTACAAGTTCAAAGGGGCATGGACATTTCTCTTTTTTGTATCGAAAAATATCGAACCGAATCGTGAATTTTCTGTATCGTTGCAGCCCTAGTAAATAGCTCAATAACATAACTTGGTGTATGTTTTACAATTGTCATAACCATGTTCACAGTCTTTTTATGTTTAAATAGAAATTTAACTTGACTTCTCATTGTTTCTGTTTCAAAACACCTTGAAATTGGCCTCTGTGTCTTTGAGAACCTCCTTCAGCTTCTGTCCCACCCATTTCAGCACGGGGCTGGTGTGTTTGCTCTGTGATGAGGAAGCTCAGCTTAGAGACACAGCCCAGAGGAGGAGCTGGTCCCAAAAGGCGGTTCTAGACCCAACCAGTGGTTTTTGCTCCCCTGCCTGCTGCCTCAGGACACGACAGGATTTATCAAACATGATTGAGTCAAAGCCAGACTCTGAGCATGTTTTTGATGACAGTGTAACATTATAACTTGATATAAAACTCAAAAAAGTTGATTTTACATATTGTCCTTTTAACTTTTATCAGCAAACTCTTGTGGATATTAATTTGGTCCAAACAGCAAAGCACTGCAAAGTATTGTAATTCCCGTATTTCTATAATCTCAAGCATAATACGATCATCGTTTTTTGGGGTTTGAAAAGCATTAAAAATCTAATCATCAATAACCCGTGTATAAAACTAAAATAGTATCTGGTCTGATAAATATTTAGAGGCCATTACCTTATACTTTTTCATCACTCTGAGTTTTAGCCAGTTCTCCGTCAGCCACTCATAAACAAACGTTAGTTTTAGTTGTAACACCTTGTTCACCTGATCCAAACTGTCAGAGGAGACATATGTATCATCTACGTAGAAACATTTACAAAAATCCTAAATATGTTGGTCTAAACTAATGTCAATGAACAGTTATGACCTCCTCTGACTCATACTGATGAACGGAGGTTCTTAAAACTCAGAGTACCATCAGATAAAGAATAAAAGCTGATAACAGACAACCTGATGACCCCCACCTGCAGTGTGGACACCTGATGGACATCCTGTTGGACACTGCTGCAGGACATGTCAGTCACTTGGTTGTGTTGAATGAAACACTCGTTTTATTCTGGCTGTAGGACTTTATTGCAGATTTTTCACAAGACTGGTTGGAGGGGCGTTGGTACATATGGTCCCCACAAAAACCCGAGTCCCCCACAGAGAGTGTCGGATCACTCTGCAGCAGCCCAGGTCCTCGATCTGAAAGCCCAGGTGACCGTACCGCTCATCGGTCTCAAACAGCGTGTTGTTGGTGTACGCTCCGAAATACTGCGGGAAAACACAAACAGGATTCTAGAATAAGACATTTCTACACGTCAACATTGTCCTGATGGTGTCCTCCTCAGTCCTCGTCCATTCTGTCCACTTCGTCTCAGAATGATGACCGCTGACCTTGGAGTTCACCTTTAATCTTTGGAACTTGTTCTGGACCCTCAGTCTGTCTCTTCAGTTTGTCCTCGGCTGTCTGTCCTCCATGTCCAGTGTGTTACACACCATGACACCAGACAGCCCTGTGACTACCTGTCAGTCTTTAACAGACTGATTACAGGACACACCTGAGTTGTTGCATGTCCATGTGGACAGATCAGCTTCAGTCTTTTCTGGTTTGTCTTTAGTTTCTTTTTCTTTAATTCTGGTGAAACAAAAATCTAAAACACTGAATTTTATTAGTTTTCAGTGAGTTTTTATTT